AGTCGCGACAACAAGTAGTAAAAACAGAAAAATGAGCGATTACGTGAGTTATATAAGAAGTAGTCTAAATATAAATCACCGATCGCTGAAAGCTACATTAATGTTATATTACATAATTTCACGTGCACGTAATTTCGTGACATTTTTTCTGTTACGTTTCTCGATGATAAAAAATAGTGCTACGCAAGTAACGAAACGTTTTCCATTTTAGGCGAGGTGGAAAAGTGAATCAAACGAATATCCTCAAAGTTGCCGAGCGACGTATCGAATCAACGTCTCTAATGGAGATTTCCGAGTCACACGTTGTGCAGCGTGAACATTGAATGTGCAAAAGCGTCATGGAAAGCGAAAAGTTCAAAGGAGTTGAAAACGCGGCGAAACTTAAGTGGCTGATTGATCTGCCGTAACAGTGACTTTTAACGCTCGCAGTCGCGCGAGTGTCAGAAAGGACTTTCAGATGGCTAAATAAAGGAACGCTCGTTCTCTTCGCTTAAAGCCGATTATGCCAGTCTTGAACAACCAGCTGCGTTGAATCTCATTCTCGTTCTGTATTTATATTAAAACTATGATTTAAGGATTTATAATTTCATTAATATATAAATGATATAATAGGGAACGATATCTCTCAACATTGTTCGTGCAACACATAATTACTGAAATAAATCACATGTCGGTTTGAATCGACCATAAACACGCGAGCGCGATTCCCGTGAGTGACAGCGCGTCTATTGCCTCTGTCGACAAATAGGAATGACAGATCGCCGTCTATTGTCCCGTAAGATTAAGTAACTTCGAGATAAGAGACGATGGTAAAGCTCATCAATGAAATAAAAAAAGGATTCTAAGCGCCGCAATTGTCGACTTTTAATAGCCTCGTACACGAATAGGGAATTTGTAGGGAAGCTCCTGTGCCAGGTTCTCGGTGTCACATATTGTCGGTTTCTTATCCTCCGCTGTCTATCCTGTGTGCGTGCGCACATTTTGAATTATTTGCCAAACGAACGTAGTCTGTCCTTGACACATATGGCATTCGAACGCGACCGACAGAGAAATAAAAATTAACAATTTATTTGCAAATAAAATTACCTTTATTAATTTATAATTTAGATATTGTCTAAGAAAACTGTAATTTAATATCATTATTGATAACAAGAAATGTGACAAATATTTTTTTTTGATAATAACAGCAATAGGCTCAGAGTATTTTTTATTGTTAAATTTTATTAATAAACATGCATTAAAATTTAATAATAAAAAGTTTACGCATTAATAACCGCGTCATGGTTCTTATTTGCCAGTTTCTCCACTTTATATTATTATTTGAATGAAACATTTTTAACGATGAACTTTAATGTATTGTATTTTAGAATGCTTGTTGATCGGTTCTTTGTGCATACAAAAGGCAGGGCATATATGTAATAAAACACGGTAGACTTTTATATCGGAGTCGACTTTTATACGATGAAAAACGTTCTTTTCTGTATCTAAAGGTCAAAGAGGTATAACTTTGCTTTAAACTTTTACAAATTCCATCAAGTCCGGAGACCCTATTATAGCAGGAAAAAAAGTTAAGTGTATCCTTGGGGATCTTAGGTAGAGAATGCGCGGATCTAAGTTGGATCGAGCTTGGAAAACCGGCTGATTACGTTGCGGGGGAGTAAAATCGAACGGAATTTGACATTGATTCGGTAAAAAGATTCAATTTCTTAAAAGTTCGGCGTCGATTTAACCCTCAAAATTGTTAAATTTTTTACGTCACTGCAATTTACGGATCGAGAAACGGATCGACCCTGCGACGTCGTGTTCGATTATCGTTCAAGAGGACAGGTGAAGAGTATCGAGCACATGTGAAATGCGATCAGTCGTAAGGGTCGTTAGGTCGCGACCGAGAATGGTATGAGGAGAGAAAAAAAAAACGCGCCGACCGGGTGCTGTAGACGAGATGTCAGATTAGAAGCCACGACACACTTGACTGGCACATATACATATTTTTTATTGCATAAATTAGCGCACGAAGGTCTTCTCTCTGGAGGGAAGTTATAGCATTAATGCCTATTACCACACATCCTAACGCGACCGAGTCTGTCAAGCGTGATTTCGTCGCATGAACTTTCCCCGTGAATGTCGACGAATCGCGCGGAAAGGAGTGAAAATTGAACGAGCTTGATTGCTATCGGCGCGTTGACACAAAAATGACCTTTGACAAATAAGAATTCTTCGAGGAATTTATACTCTTTCGTGGTAAATATTGACTTTTTAAATTCCTTTCACGTTACTATGCAAGCGCCAATTAGTGTTTTTTCAAATTCGAGAGCCAATCTTTTCTCAGCTAAAATATGTTGAAAACTTTTAAATACTCGATATCGAATGTTACAACAATTGATATTTAATTCACGTTTTATAGAGTAGTTATTTTGATATTTAACGACGTTTAACATTCGCGATAAAATGAAAAATGATATATTGGTAGCAAAAAGCTTAATACTTGTACATTACCACATGAAGAAAAAATTGCGAAAACAAATTTGATCTTGTTGGGGGGAAAATTGCCTGTTGCAATATTGTAAAAGTTGTTGAATCAATATTGATATTGGAGAAATTTAATACATAAAATCGTTGTTCAATCATATTACGAGCTTCGCTTCTCTACCGTGTGCCAATAAACTTGACACCTTCGCGCTCGGTATAGTCTCATCGCTCAAGAGAATTCCAGCCATTTATTTAACGATTAAGGGAGACTAATGTCACATTCGCTATACTTGCCGTGTGACATTACTTACTGTGTAGCGTTGTTTATTAAATTAAACAAGAACCGAGGATTCTTTTGCAATTTGTGCAAAGCGATTTTGTTCATTGCCAATGTGTATTAGCAGTTTATGATCGCAACAAAAAGAAAACGTGTTGCTGAAGTGGAGCAACATCAGTATTTCGAAATTATCCAATTACATTACGAATCTCGACTTTGCTTTTGCTCCGACGTGATCAGTATTTACAATGACTTTGCACAAAAAATATCCTCAATAAAGTCGACTTGATTGTCGAAACATTTAAAATAATAAAAAATCTGGATACAAATTAATAATACACATATTAAAAAAAAATTGCATATTTTTTTCTCTATGTTTCTTATTTTTTTCTCCATGAAATGGGTTATCTGCTCGAAGATAAAAAATGCGGAATAAAAGCAAAGACGACAGCCTTACTCAGCATAAATTCTAATCCTCCATTTAAAGAATTCTCCGGCCTTCCTGAACGATTTAATTCCAACTAAGCATTGAGAAAATGCAAGCTGCAAAATCGCATTTACGGCTTATACATCTCGTAGCAATGTTTAAAATATGTTATTTTAGAAAATCATAGGAAAACAATATACATATATATAAAAATAATATGTAAGAAAATAAAAAATAATTTCTGTCTCAACAACTTCACTGAATATATATCTACAACGTTCCATATTTAAGTGTAAACGCAGATTTCTTTGCAAACTCAAAGAGATTCGATATTAACTACGCGCAAACGCATATATTAGCATTTAGTTATTGCAATGAGTTTGTACAGTATATCGCATTTTTGTCAGCTATACGATAATATCGCATCATAAATATGAAATAATTTAATGACAATTCAATCAGTTAACCTTGAGCTATAATATCGAAAAAATATATATTATATATGTGCCATATAATATTGCAAGCCACTAATACCATTTTACCAACCTCATAAACTCTGAATCTGCCTGTCTACAGTTGCAGTTTAAGTACATTCGATTTATAAAATTTTATGTATGCGTAAAAAGAAAATGGCCATTCGTGATTTTATTACCGATAAAAAATTATGAAGTACATCACATTTCTCACTCTGTGATATAATACGTGTATGCGCATCTTTATATTACACTGTCGTATATTAAGGTGCACATAAACAGAATATTCTTATCTAAACGAGCAATCCCTTCAAGGACTATTCTTGTCAGTAAATCGCGACTATGCAAAAGAAATTGTTGCTTGTCTCTATCATTCCTATATCTCTCTTCCCTTCTCGCAATCAATTCGATCCCCGTCTTCTCGCGCCCGTTCCTCGTCTCGCAAGGACTCGAAGCATTTCTCGAGTGATATTGCCAGTGACATGCATTGTCCCATTGTGACATAGAGCTACCCCTTTCCTCCATTTAATCGAGCCCTTCCACACTCATTTCGTATCATAGTCGGGATGTTTTACATAATATTGAAAATGAACCTCCAACTCGATGCCTGCACGTTCCGCATATTTCAAGCGAGGTATTCCTTAGTACTTCGATTACATTTTCGCGTCTGTCAGAAGAGACGAGAGAGAGAGAGAGAGAGAGACAGAGAGAGAGAGAGAGAGCAGACATACATTTTTAGTTTTGACCTTTGAAGCGAAAACCGGAGAACGAAAAGAGCAAAACGCAAGCGACATTTATATGTAAACGACTGCGTTAAAATTATGAACGTACAAAAATACTTTGGCTTTATCAAATTAATGTAAAATATGTTCATATTTAATTTCTACTTCTTGCATAATATTATCGTATAAGCGATCTTGAATACTAATCTCCTCACGATAATAAAATACCGAGTATATATAATATTATGAAAATTTATGATAATCGAGTGAGAAATAATATTCCGCACTCGCACCGATACGTTCATTAAAAATTTAACCCCCTCTTTGTCAGATGTACGTTTACCACGTTGCACCATTAAATGGTAAAATTACTGAATTAATCGGCACAAATAGAAACGTCATTATCATAATTTGTATAATCAACATAATGTTATGCAATGATATCGATATCGCCGAGTGAAAATGCGACTCTTACAGTTTTTATTTTTAATTTTTTTTTTTTTTTTCACGTAAACAAACTGTCCGCCTAAATTGATCGTCGCGGGTACGATTATTTTCCCACGATCATTTTTATCCGTCAAAAATATCGCGGTTATGGAAATTTATAGAGCACGCGATTTATCTCGGCTTACCGTGCGTATCGAACTTTCGGATGATGGTCTCGATGATCGTAGTTCTGGGCGCCACGTGACCTCGTCTAACAGGCATCTCAGGAACAGGATTTTCGGGTATCTGGACAGCCGAGACTTCCGCGTTTTTTGACCGTGTGACGTTAGGGCGCAATCTCGGGCCCTATCCCTAATGTATCGCGCGATAATTACTAAAGCACTAGGAAAAAACACTCGCGGCAAACAATGCACGAGCACGGTAGAAAAAAGCACAGCACGAGTTGAGCATAGTGATCAGCCGTAAGATAGTGTAACGTAACGCGACTTGACTTAACGAGGATAAGGAAAAGAAAGAGATTTTCGTTGCTATAATCAGACGAGATGATCGCGGGCGTAAATCAGCGATGCATCTCATCTGCTTGTCTCAGGCTTCTTAGCGGATACGAAAAGGCAGTGCGAGAAAGAGATCTGTTGTCTCCCTGTAGGTGCTCTTATCTCGCGTCTATTCGTCCGCCAGGAGCACCGAGATAGGTGGTCGTTGTTCTTGGTCTTGTTCGTCTTCGCGATATCGATACGTCACGATTAAGACTCTATCGAAGAGCGCGACTACGTTTGCGAAAGGCTCGACGCCACGTTCGTTTGGACCCAGAGTTCTCGTCTTTATCTAGATATCTGTCTAAGATCTTTAGCTTCAGGACGTCACGACGATACGGCCTTCTGCCGTCGATCCGGGGGGAAGGTCGGTACCACCTTGTCGAACGTTCGACATACGTGTCGCACGTGCACGCGTTGTCACTGCCGTGATGGATGCCGTGGCGCGTGTGTGCTCTTCAAGAGACGGGATCCACGCGAAAAGAACATCTATTTATAGCGTGGATTATACGGATCTCTCTCTCGCGGCCGGCGTTTTCGCGATTTCCACTGGACTGACGGTCGGCCTCCACGGATGGTCGCGTAATCGTCGTCGACGATTTAGGTAGAGCTACGACGATGCCTCCAACGTCGCTCGCCAACGGTAACGTCCGTCCTCGACGCGATTCCTCCTCTCTCGTCGACAAAGTCTCATATCGCGTCGATCGTCGTTCACAGCTGACACGCGCATCGAATCCTCGTGACTCTCAATTGACGATCGAGCGACCCGATATAGCCGAAAAATATTGACGCGACGGCGTCGCGATGCGGCGGGTCAACAACCTCGTGGCTTCGATCCTCGGGATGTTCGCGTTCTTCCTGACCGCAGGCACTCCTCGGCGATGCTCGCGGATCTCGCTGGACCTGACGGGATCGAGGTCAGACTTCACAATAGACGAAATCGCGGAGCGTGGACGTCTCGGTGAGGCGCATGACTCGGACATCTCCACGACGTCGTTGTTGAATCGCTCGGTCCACGAACGAAAGAAAGAGACGAATTCGTCGGAAACGGCTCGATTTCGCGCGATGAGTCGAGACGGCCGTGCGAGTGGGGATGGGCGTCGCGACGCCCAGGATAGAGTAGAGCTGTTCACGACGACGGTGAAGGCACGTGGTGTGTTTGCAGTCGAAGCGTTTACGCGAAACACCGCGATCGAATCGATTTTCCCGGTCTGGTCGTCCCGACGCGAAGTCGTGACACTCGCCGATGCTAATCGAACGTCGGGGTTCTCGCTCGTTCTCTCACTCTCTCTCTCTCTTTCTGTTTCTCTCTCTCTCTCTCTCTCTTTCTCTCACGTTCTCTCGCTCTCTGACGCGGCTGGTCAGCTGTGCATCTCCGGTCAACCACGGGGACAGCTATTTTTGTATTTCTTCCTCATCCTCCGCGACCATGCCCGACTACCGCCTTTGTCGCGGTCTAATCTCTCGGGGTATTCCTCGGCTCGCGTAGCCACGTCGAGGTCCGTAAAAAATCCGCCGCATGCGACGCTTCTCGCGAACGATCGACGTATATGCACGCGTCGAGATCAGATCGTTACGGAGGATGCCGTTGGAAAATTCACCGAGATTTTCGGATAACACATAATATAATTCGCGAAAAAATACCGTCCTTTATACTCTATTTCTCTCCTCTTCGTTCGCGTATTCGATTTTATCGCTAATCTATCTTACTCGATTAGATATCTATCTCTCGATTCATCAGCGCATCATCTCGCGATTGGTTTCTCACTATCAATCCCATGGCTCCTTCACGTGTTTACGGAAGCGCGTTATCTCCGTGCGCTGTCACACGCGAACGTGACCCACCACGCCTTCACGCAGACCGAATCGCAGGAGATACGATGCCCTCTCGCTGACCTCGCGACCCTCTCACGGGATCCTCTACCGTGGAGACACCTGACTTGCCCCCTATCACCGTCTCTCCGGCCGGCGCACTCCAGAGGAAGGTCGCCGAACACTGTTGCTCCGCCGCGTGCTCGTTATCTCCCTCTTACCCCGTCGCGGTGCACACGCGACGCATCTCTCGAGAGTCGCAACGTCTCTACGAGAACCCGAAAATTTCCAGTCGCCGATGACGACGTCGCGACGACGCGATACCCTCGTATCGCTTTTAGGAGACCCGGAGTCCCGCGGTTTGGCAAGTCGCCGTCGTGTGTTCGGTCGGAGAACTGATTCGCGCGAGAGGAGGCGCGAGACGGGTCGACGTCTCTTTCTCTCTCTGTCTCACTCCCGACGATGACGACGGCGGTAACGGCGACGGCGGCAACGACGACGACGACGACGCCGTCGACGTCGGTACGTAACAAAGGAGGCAAAGAGGGGGGCGGTCATGCACGGCGCCTGCGTCGCGGAATACATCCCCACCCAGGTTCACCCACCCGCGATCGCATACATATACTGCCACCTTTCCACCCCTCTGTCCGCAATCTTCCCCGCCGCACCGACCCCCGTCGTCCACTGATAATATCGATAAGGTTCCGCACACAGGCCCCCGCCGACCGCTCTCTTCGTTCGGCGCCCTTCTGTCTTCCGTCAACGGGGGTGACGAGCTTTGGAGTCGCCGCCAGCGGAAACGATGTACGCGCCAATCCACGAGGACATAATGACATAACGCGTCTTGTATTCTTGGCTTTTATTTCACGGTTTATTCCACTGCAACGCGACAACTCGCCTTCATTCGTTTCTATATGTTTAGAGCGGTGTTCTGCGTTTTAAATTTAAACAAAATTCGAGCACAGATATTAATTAAACATTATCTTTGTCACGAGATTTTGAAATTATCGACGAAAAATATTTCGATGGACGAATAAAAATGTTATTGGGTAATTTGGTAATAAAATATAGAGGAGATATATTTTTTGTTATATAAAAGACGCAGTTTAATTCGCTTAAAAAAAGATTTTCATAATAACATGGAAAGTATAATATTCCAATTTCATCTTCGTTAAAAGAAAATTGACTTTTGATTGTTGAGAGTGTCTGAGATATTTTATATATACAACAAAAAGAAATGTTATGCTATTGTGAGCGTGACATTATACATATAACAATCGCTTTCTTTCATATGATTGTTACTATACTTTATCTGATCGTATTCAACATAAAATAAAATAGATATTTCACTCGCGACATATAATATGAGTATATACAGTATTATGTAAATATAAATCACACATTAAAGAAATAAATTTTACTTATGCAAAAAAATATATAGTAGTACTGCTGTTATAAAATTATTATAACGCTAATAAAAATACAGTGCAGCACGCATATATTACGTATATAATTAAAAATATCTATTATTTTTTTAGTATTAATTTACATATTGCATGATACGCAAAAGTGTGTGTTTGCCAGCACGAGAAAATAGGATGGATATGCAAATCGATACGGATGTCGTATATTGTAGCGTCACTTTGCGCGAATATCTCTGTCGATAAACTTATCGTGGAATAGTCAGTAAGAGAATTGTGGGTAAGACAGAGACAGAGCTATTATATACCCAGAACAGATAAAGAGAATGTGATTTTACTAGCAAGATGAGAGACGAGAAAAATATATTATCTGCCGCGATAAATTTTCCCTCCTTTAAAGCCCGTGTCACACTACGCATTGCGGACTCGAATCGGATTTGGAGTACGGACTGCGAATCGTCATCCATCCAATCACAGCGAAGTAGCCAAGGATCTGATTGGATGATTGACGATTCGCAGTCCGTAATCCAAATCCGATCCGCGTCCGTAATGCGTAGTGTGACATGGGCTTAAGGTGATGCCGGACCGTCCTGTTTTACCGGCCATAATATTTTACTTTGCAGACCGAAATTTTTTTATTGATTACATGAAATAAGAAATCCATGCAAGCGCGTTTCATTTTTGGCACACATACCTCACAAGAAATAAATTCAAACAAACTCGACTCGTATTTACGTTGTATAAAAACATGTTTACATTGGCGCGACACATCTATTGTATATAGCTCCGAAACTGATAAAAGCGCACGTCAAATATTTTCTTTTCCAATACGACGGATTATCCGCCGGGTAATGTTATTATATAGCGTGGCCAAGAATATTATTTATTTTGAATAAATATCCGATTCGATCAACGCGTCGTACATGAACACTTGGCGTCTATCGATGACTTTTGTCAACGAGAAATATATTTAAACTTAGTCTACTCTCTGTCATTACGTAAATGTCAAAATTAGAGACGATCATTCGCGCAGGTAAATCGATCTCGAGTAATCGATGCAGCGTGAAAAATGGTAAGAAAGCGAATGCGGGTAAACGCGCGTAAAAGTTTAAACTCGATCCGCCATTACGCGAATCGCCAAGCGCACACACGATCGTCTTATATCGCTCTGCACTTACTTTAAAATCCGCCGACGTCTTGAAAATCTCCGCCGTTCTCTCCCTCCTGACGTCGTCCATCTCACGTGGGACACCATATCGTCGAATTTTCTGTCACAGCGCTCGCGCGATTCACGGAAAATCGGAGAGAAACGCGCGACATCACCACTCGTCGCCGGGTCTTTGAAAAATGGCATGGCCGTCGCGCCGAGCGACGCTCGGCGGCGCTCGGTGGCACTCGGAGCCGCTCGGCAATCTTCGGCAATGTTCGGGTGCCGGCGCTGCGGCTCGCGGCTCCACGGGGTTCACGAGAGTCGATTCACGGAGCCCCGCCCTGCCTGCCGCCCGCCAGAGCCGTGACGTGAAGGTGCAGCAGCCGCAGCAGTAGCAGCAGCTCTGCTCGTTTCGTTCGTGCCGAGAATTTTCGTGTGTCGTCGAATGAAAACAATCGCCGACGTACGAACGTCGCGCATCCCGAGACGTTGACACGCGCCGCACTGTGTGCGCCCCGTCGTTGATAACGTCCACGTATAATCGTCGCTCGTCGTCGTCGCTGTCGCGTCATCGTCGTCGTCGCCGCCGTGTCGTCGCGATATCTCGCCGCGACAGTTAACCTTAAAGAAAGCGGCGGGTGCGGTGGATAGTGTTTCCCCTCCGAGGAGGTAGAGCGGGTAAACTCGAGTCGTCGGTACTCGAGACGGAAAGGTGTGACAAGGAAAGTGCGTAGTCATCGATGTGAGAGCCGAGGACGGCGAGCAAGAGCAGAGGGAGCGAGTGCGAAAGCGGAGAAAGAGAGAGACAGAGAGAGAGAGAGAGAGAGAGAGAGAGGTCCAAGCATTTTGCCGGGAATTCCGACGATCGCAGCTCCGTCAGGGAGCTCCAGGTATGTAACATCGGAATTCTGACATTCCGGGCATCTCGCGACTTCCGGATGTGTCGCTCCTCCGGCCGAGCCCGCCCGGCCGCCCTTCGCGCGACTCGATAACCGCCATCATGGCGGTCGCCTAGGCCTATACGCTCCGTGTCAAAAATCTCCTCCGTTTGCCGTTTACGTGTGCTTTCGTTCGTATCTCGCGCCGACGACTTTCTCACGCGACGCCGATTCCATCGCGAGAACGGAATCGTCGAAGGACGGGGATCGTTCGACCTCGCGTTCTTAAAATGACGACGACCTCTACTCGCGCTTATCTTTTTTTCTTTTTTTATTTTACTTGGAGGCGCGTAAAAGTCGCTCGTGTACGCGACTCTCTCGTCGCTTCGATTTCCCCAGGTTCGTCGTAAAACATCGCGACGATACGATACTCGGAGTCGCTTTCTATTCGCGAGGGTCACTCGGTATAATTCGACGTCGGGTTAGCACGAACGAGTACGCCGGAAATAGATCGAGCGTCGCGATTACGGGATGCATTATCGATGGGATCATTGATTGGAACGAACGGGCTTCCACGAGATATTTGTACTCTCTCGACTCTCGAAAAAAGAAAAAAAGAAGTCAATGAGTCGGCCCGAGATCGATAACGAGATTTTTCCTTTGGATTTCACCTTCGTTAAAGAATTAATAAGAGAAATTATCGACGAAAGCATCGACCTGTCAATATTGATTTGTACCTATGTACGCTGGTTTATATTTATATTATCTTTTGCTCATAAAATGATTCGAATTGTTTTCACGAAGATATCATTGATATTTCGACCGATTTATTGTTATTGACAGAGTCGAATGGATTATTCCAAGTTTCAGATCGTATAAAGGAAGTGACCAATACATTTTCAAACGGATCAATGAATTTTTATATTACGTAAAAATATCTCTCGCATTAAAAAAATAATCGCGTTGTATTTGATTGAGCCTTGAGATTGCGCGAACGTCGATGCTCTCGTCTTCAGGAATGTTCGCCTGTCACATCGTCCCGGAGGTGTCCGGACACACACCGGTTCTCCTTCGACGTCTCTGACGTTTGTTTGACGACGACTCGGATTATCTCGAGGCGCACAATACGCGTAACACAAGTCGTTTTGCATATACAGGGTGTCCCAGATATGCATGTCTAAAATGAAGGTGTGAATTCAGTAAAAAACGTCAAAACGAGAAACTTTTTTATTTGACACTTTGATCAAATCTCAAAAATTGCACTTTTCCAAATCAAAATTTAATAAAGATAGGGTGTCCCTATTTTTATAACATTCAGATTTTAAAAGCATAAAATTCATTAATCAAATGATAAGAATTACGTTTTAGAACATTATGAAACATAATTCTTATTGTTTGAGTAATGATTTTTATGCCTTTAATACCTGAATTTTTGGTAAAAATAGCAATACTTCATTTTTATTAAATTTTTATTTGGGGAAGCGCTATTTTTGAGACTTGACCATAGTGTCAAATAGAAAAGTTTCTTGTTTTAGCGTGCTGAATTTATTCCTTCAATTTGAACACGTTGATCTGGGACACCCTATATACCGCAAAAGAAAAGTTCGCATTTCTTAATCAGCGAGATAAATTTTTGCGCGTTGTGAAAAATGCGAAGGTTTGACCAAAAAAAAAAAAAAAAAGAATATTCGCAATATGACGATTTTACACATCTTTAATTTTTTTAATTCTTTAATCCAGTAGAATTTTATATAACTAATTGACAGGAATAATTATCACTTATTTATTAAATTATAAAAATATTTTTATTTAAGATTGATATTTGTTAAATGAATTAATGAGATGTATGTAATCACATATTAGAAGTATAGTTATTAAAGTATAATCAGAAAATTATTCAAGTAATCAGAAAATCGTAAATAAGAATGATAAAGAATAGTGCGATTAATCAAACGTTTTTCTTTCTCTTCTTATGATTATAACTGGTAATTTCTACTGTGCCTTT